CCTCGCTGGGATTTGGGGGTGTTTGGGCAGCTCCGGGTCGCTGTCCCCGTGTCCCAGGAATGATCCAGCCCTGGCTCCGGTGGCCTCTGGAGCTCCTTGAGGGATGGGAAGATCTTGGCACACCCACGCTTGGGGAACGGGACGGAGACGTTTTGTTGGATCATCTCCCTGGATGCCCGGCTGGAATCCTCTGGAGCCTCCTGGGCGCTTTGGGTGGCTGCGCCCAGGAGATTTGGGATCTGCTCTTCCCACCGCCCCCTCCAAGCTGGGCTGACCTGTGGGGACCCAGCTTGGTGAGGTGGGCTGAGACCTGAGCCCAGCTGCCCCAAAAAACGGGATCAGCTCCTTTTCCCGGTGATCCCCAGGGATGGCAGGGCAGTAATTGGGATTCTGTGCCACGGCTTTGATCTCGGCGTGGTGGCAGCAGCAGGTGCCAATTACCCAGGGACGTGCCCAGGGAGCCTCCAGGAGCCGCCGCTCCCGCGGAGCTTCCCTGGAGTCCCAGCCTGCGGGAGGTGACCTGGATAAACCCAGACTGGGAGCCAGCCCGGCCCTGCTGTGCCCCGGGGCAATCCCGCTGACTCCGGCTTGGCTCGGCTTTTCCAGGCTTGGCTCGGCTTTTCCGAGCCTGGCTCGGCTTTTCCCAGCGTGGCTCGGCTTTTCCCAGCGTGGCCCGGCCTTTCCCGGCCCGGCCCGGCCTTTCCCGGCCCGGCCCGGCCTTTCCCGGCCCGGCCCGGCCTTTCCCGGCCCGGCCCGGCCTTTCCCGGCCCGGCCCGGCCTTTCCCGGCCCGGCCCGGCCTTTCCCGGCCCGGCCCGGCCTTTCCCGGCCCGGCCCGGCCTTTCCCGGCCCGGCCCGGCCTTTCCCGGCCCGGCCCGGCCTTTCCCGGCCCGGCCCGGCCTTTCCCGGCCCGGCCCGGCCTTTCCCGGCCCGGCCCGGCCTTTCCCGGCCCGGCCCGGCCTTTCCCGGCCCGGCCCGGCCTTTCCCGGCCCGGCCCGGCCTTTCCCGGCCCGGCCCGGCCTTTCCCGGCCCGGCCCGGCCTTTCCCGGCCCGGCCCGGCCTTTCCCGGCCCGGCCCGGCCTTTCCCGGCCCGGCCCGGCCTTTCCCGGCCCGGCCCGGCCTTTCCCGGCCCGGCCCGGCCTTTCCCGGCCCGGCCCGGCCTTTCCCGGCCCGGCCCGGCCTTTCCCGGCCCGGCCCGGCCTTTCCCGGCCCGGCCCGGCCTTTCCCGGCCCCCGGCCCAGCCCGTCCCGGCCTTGCCCGGCCCGGCTCGGCCTTGCCCGGCCCGGCCCGGCCTTGCCCGGCCCGGCTCGGCCTTTCCTGGCCCAGCTCGGCCTTTCCAAGCTTGGCTTCTCCCTGAGCTCTTTTTCCCGGGTCAGGAGCCTGGAGCTGCTGCTGCTCCATCGGGATGTGAGGAGCTGCTGCTGCTCAGCTGCCTCCTGCCCCAGCGTGGAGCCAGCAGCGCCTTCCGGGCTCCTTCCCGGGGCTGGGACAGCCTTTCCCGGGAATGCTGTGTCCGGCAGATCCCGGTTTGATCCTGCTTTGATCCTGACTGCAGCTCCCGTGGTGGGCGGACGCCGCCTGTTTCCCTCATCATCCCGGCATGGCTCTGGGGAGAGCTCTGGGGGCTGGAAATCCCAATCCACAGATGTCTGAAATTCCCGTTTGTTTCCCTTTTCCAGAGGGAGTGCATTTCCATCCACTTTCCATCCCCGGGATGTGTGAAATTCCCTGTTTGTTTCCCTTTTCCGAAGGGAGTGCATTTCCATCCCCAGGACTGTAAAATTCCCTGTTTCCCTTTTCCAGAGGGAGTGCATTTCCATCCACATTTCCATCCATGGGATATCTGAAATTCCCGTTTCCCTTTTCCAGAGGGAGTGCATCTCCATCCCTGGGATGTCTGAAATTCCCATTTCCCTTTTCCAGAGGAAGTGCATTTCCATCCCTGGGATATCTGAAATTCCCTATTTCCCTTTTCCAGAGGGAGTGCATCTCCATCCACATCGGGCAGGCCGGGGTGCAGATGGGCAACGCCTGCTGGGAGCTCTACTGCCTGGAGCACGGCATCCAGGCCGATGGGACCATTCCCAGCTCCAAGCAGCTGAAATCCATGGATCCCAACTCCGAGCCAGTGGACTCCTCCTTCGAGACCTTCTTCTGTGAGACGGCGTCTGGCAAGCACGTGCCCCGGGCCGTGTTCATAGACCTGGAGCCCACCGTCATTGGTAAAACCGGGATTTTGCCCCGATCCATCTTCATCCGTAATTCCCAACCCTTTTTCCGTGGGATCCTGGTGTTCCCACTGCTCTGCTTAAATGTCCCCATTGGGAGCAGATGGAATTTACGCTTCCAAAAGGGACCAGGAGGGACAAACCCGTGGCTGTCACCATGTTGTCTTTGCTCCCTCCTTTTGGGACCTTCAGCAGGTGGAGAGTGACCTGGACTTGCCAGCCTTGGTGTTCCTGGCTGGAATTCCACCATCCCACGGCCAGATGTGGCACGTCTGGTTCTGATGCCTCCCACAAAGTGCCACGGGTTTGTGGGACCTGGCTGTTTGGAGATCTTCTCCAGCCTGAGGGATTCCAAAAGATTCCCACTTCCCCCTCCAGCTCCCGCAGGGATCTCTGGCTGTTTGTTTGCGTGGCACCTCCATTTGAGATGTTTTCCCAGAAAATGATAATTACTTATTTAGGAAATGACTCCAATCCAGCCTGCTCCTGCCTTCCAGGCTTCTCCTAGCTTTCCATCTGGGATGTGACTCATTAGTCCTAATTAAAGGGTTGCAGACTTTTGTTTGGGTTCTGCTTAATTTTTAGACACCTCATTAAGGTATCAAACGGAGAACTTAATGAGTGAGCCCCAGGAGATTATGGAATGTGCCCAGTGTTGGGATGGAGTGGATTCAAAAACTCTGGAGCTGGGTCAGGTGGAAATGTCAGCACTGGGGGGCTTTGTCTGTGTCCCTTCTGTGCTGTGGAGCAGGGGATGCAGGTGCAGCTTCCAGACTTCTCCTCCAAGCTGCCCGTGGTAACTGATCCCACAAAAACGCTGGAATTGTGGTGTCCCAGCTCATTAAACCAGATTAATTTAGGATTTCAGGCTAGAGTTGGAGTTCTGGTAGGACTTTATACACGTGACTTTATTCCTCCCCCTTCCATCATTCCCACAACCCTTCCCTAACCACGCCATGACCTCCTGCTGGACTTCCCATGGATTTTGCTCCGTCAGCTTCTCCCAAAACCTTTCTCTGTGTTCTGATTTCTCCTCCCGGTGCAGATGAGATCAGGACGGGGACCTACCACGGGCTCTTCCACCCGGAGCAGCTCATCAGCGGCAAGGAGGACGCTGCCAACAACTACGCCCGCGGCCACTACACCATCGGCAAGGAGATCATCGACACCGTGCTCAGCAGGATCCGGAAAATGGTGAGGGGAACGCCGCCTCTGGGGTAAAATAACGGGCAGCGTTTTGGAGTTTGGGGTAGAAGTCTTGAAAGGAAAAAGTCTTAAATTAAAAAAATATCTTCAGGTGAGGTCTTCGCGTTGTTGCTGCTCTTGGGATTTGGTTTGGGGCTCGGGAAGGTCCCCTTCTGGGCAACGGTTTGGGGTTTGGGGTAGAAGTCTGGAAAGGAAAAAGTCTTAAATTTAAAAAAACATCTTTAGATGAGGTCTGAGCGTTGTTGCTGCTGTTGGGATTTGGTTTGGGGCTCGGGAAGGTCCCCTTCTGGGCAACGGTTTGGGGTTTGGGGTAGAAGTCTGGAAAGGAAAAAGTCTTAAATTTAAAAAAACATCTTTAGATGAGGTCTGAGCGTTGTTGCTGCTGTTGGGATTTGGTTTGAGGCTTGTTGTCCCTTCTGGGCAACGGTTTGGGGTTTGGGGTAGAAGTCTGGAAATGAAAAAGTCTTAAATTAAAAAAATATCTTTAGGTGAGGTTCGAGCGTTGTTGCTGCTGTTGGGATTTGGTTTGAGGCTTGTTGTCCCTTCCAGAAAACCTTTTGGGGTTTGGGGTAGAAGTCTTGAAATGAAAAGGTCTTAAATTAAAAAAATATCTTTAGGTGAGGTTCGAGCGTTGTTGCTGCTGTTGGGATTTGTTTTGAGGCTGGTTGTCCCTTCCGGACAACGGTTTGGAGTTTGGGGTAGAAGTCTTGAAATGAAAAGGTCTTAAATTAAAAAAATATCTTTAGGTGAGGTCCAAGGGTTGTGAAATTACTGTTGGGATTTGGTTTGGGGCTCATTGTCCCTTCTGGGCAACGTTTTGGGGTTTGGGGTAGAAGTCTTGAAAGGAAAAAGTCTTAAATTTAAAAAATATCTTTAGGTGAGGTCCGAGCGTTGCTGCTGCTGTTGGGATTTGGTCTGGGGCTCGGGAAGGCCCCTGGATTTGTGTGTTTGTCCTAAAAGCAGAGAATTGTTGAGTTAAAACCGGGCTTAAGATGCTTGGGGAGTGCTCTAAGCAGAATTTTGTGCTGTATTACTTAGGATGGTTATCCCAATCCTTAAATGGACAAATATCCATTTCTTTTGGGATAGCTATCCCAGTCAGTCCTTAAATGGATAAATATCCCTTTTTTTTGGGATAGTTATCCCCATCCTTACAGGGATAAATACCCAATATTATTGGGATAGCTTTCTAATCCTTGGGATAAATATCCCGTATTCCTGGGATAGTTCCTCTAGTACTTTAAGGGATAAATATCCATTTTCTTGGGATAATTATCCCAGTTCTTACGGGCTAAAGGATCCATTTTCTTGGGATAATTATCCCAGTCCTTACGGGCTAAAAGATCCATTTTCTTGGGATAATTATCCCAGTCCTTACGGGCTAAAAGATCCGTTTTCTTGGGATAATTATCCCAGTCCTTACGGGCTAAAAGATCCATTTTCTTGGGATAATTATCCCAGTCCTTACGGGCTAAAAGATCCATTTTCTTGGGATAATTATCCCAGTCCTTACGGGCTAAAAGATCCGTTTTCTTGGGATAATTATCCCAGTCCTTACGGGCTAAAAGATCCGTTTTCTTGGGATAATTATCCTGGGCCTTGCAGGGAAAAATATTCGTTTTCTTGGGATGATTATCCCAGTATTCTTGGGATAGTTACTCCAGTGCTGACAGGGATGAATATCCAATATTCTTGGGGTAGTTTTTGGGGTAAATGTCTGATGTTCTGCTGCAGGCTGACCAGTGCAGTGGACTCCAAGGCTTCCTGGTCTTCCACAGCTTCGGAGGAGGCACTGGCTCCGGCTTCACCTCGCTCCTCATGGAGCGGCTCTCCGTGGAGTACAGCAAGAAGTCCAAGCTGGAATTCTCGGTGTACCCGGCCCCGCAGGTGTCCACGGCCGTGGTGGAGCCCTACAACTCCATCCTGACCACGCACACCACGCTGGAGCACTCGGACTGCGCCTTCATGGTGGACAACGAGGCCATCTACGACATCTGCCACCGCAACCTGGACATCGAGCGCCCCACCTACACCAACCTCAACAGGCTGATCGGCCAGATCGTGTCCTCCGTCACCGCCTCGCTGCGCTTCAACGGCGCCCTCAACGTGGACCTCATCGAGTTCCAGACCAACCTGGTGCCCTACCCGCGCATCCACTTCCCGCTCACCACCTACGCGCCCATCGTCTCGGCGGAGAAGGCCTACCACGAGCAGCTCTCCGTGCCGGAGATCACCAACGCCTGCTTCGAGTTCTCCAACCAGATGGTCAAGTGCGACCCTCGCCGCGGCAAGTACATGGCGTGCTGCCTGCTCTACCGCGGCGACGTCGTGCCCAAGGACGTCAACGCCGCCATCGCCGCCATCAAGACGCGCCGCTCCATCCAGTTCGTGGACTGGTGCCCCACCGGTTTCAAGGTGGGCATCAACTACCAGCCGCCCACGGTGGTGCCCGGCGGCGACCTGGCCAAGGTGCAGAGGGCTGTGTGCATGCTGAGCAACACCACGGCCATCGCCGAGGCCTGGGCCCGCCTGGACCACAAGTTTGACCTGATGTACGCCAAGCGGGCGTTCGTGCACTGGTACGTGGGGGAGGGCATGGAGGAGGGCGAGTTCTCCGAGGCCAGGGAGGACCTGGCGGCCCTGGAGAAGGATTATGAGGAGGTTGGAAGGGACTCGGCGGACGGGGAGGAGGAGGAGGGTGATGAGGATGAGTATTGACAGACTGCGGCCTGGTCTTGACCTCAGCTGGGATCCGGACTTGTGTCCCGAGTTCCTGAGGGCCCGGAGCCATGTTTGATGTATTAAACCTCCCCTGCTTGCGTAGTTTGGGCTCGCAGAGCTCCTCTCTAGCCTGGGTGCCTTGAGCTTTACCCCACTGCTGTTTATTGACGAGTGACGCTGAGTCGGGCCTAACTTAGGCCTGACATCCCGCCTAGCCAGGAGATCCTGGTTCCTAGCCCAGGGAATGTCCAAGCTGCCTGCTTTGGCTGGAATGGCAAACTCTTGCTCTGGCTTTTTCTTGTGAAAGCACTTTGGAATTAGAAACGCACCTGTAAACTTCTATGCAAATGGCTTTTTGTATATGAATAAAGAGGGGTTTTTTTGGCTCGGAATTCCTTGGATTCCCCCGGGGGGGATTTGTGGGGAGGCTCCTGCTCCAGATGGCCTGAGGAGAAGAGCAGATGCTGATCAGGGTGTGCTGTGAGAGTCATCAACCCTAATTAGTGCTGTGGGGGAAGCGTCCTGTATCCTGTGGGGATTTCTGTCTGGGGCTGGCTGCTGCTCGGGGAATTCCCTGGCTGGGATCAGGGATCACTCCTGAGTAGCTGGGAGCGCTTTTTGACCTCCTCACCAGCTTTGGTCAAGCTCAGGTGTTCCCTGAGCAAATCCTGGTGGTTTGGGGAAGTGCTGAGGATTTGGGAAATATTCCCAAACCAGGGAAATCCAGCCAGGAATGGGGAGAGGCGAGGGGAGCTGTGTCTGGTATTTGGGACAGGAGGTGCAAGGATCCCAAAAACTCTTTGGTGGCCCTAAAAGGACCAGGTTGGAGGTGGCTTCTGTGAAGGTCCAGGTCCCTTGAGCCACCCCGAAGGTTGTCACCCCCAAGTCCCCATCCTTGATTGTCCCCTGAGAAGATTCCAGGTCCAGCCAGGAGAGGGATTTTGGGGGAAATCCCACAGTTTTTGGGGAGCTGGAGGCTCCAATTCTCTCCACAAGGGGTGAATCCTCACAGAGTGACTTCAGCTTTATCTTCTCTTCCTCCAAAATTCCAGCCTGTGGGAATGTTCCCATCCATCTTCCAGCCCAGCCACCATCCTTAATTCCATTTTATTCATAATTAAACCGTTGAGTGAATTTGTGCTGATAATAATTTCTACAGAACCTTTTGTTACATTGTTTTAGTTAGGCCATTAATTAAGTGCTTTATTTTAATTTCATTTTTTAATTTAGAGGTTAAAACCTTTTAATTGTTGATGAAGGGGCTCAGTTTGATTGAGGGACCTCAGAATTCCATGGGAAGATCTCCCTTATTCCTTTATACTTTCCCAACCTCCACACAGCTCATTTTTGTTTATTTTTACTTCCAGATTGCTCAAATTTAGATTTTATTTTGCTTTTTCCCTGAGCTTTACTCATCCAGTAAAATCTGCAGGCTGAGCTTTGCCAAGGAGCTTTGTCACGCTTTCTCTTTTAGATGAAATCCACTTTTTTCCGTATTTTTGCCAAAGATTCCTTAGGGAATCCTTAAACCTCTCACTCCTGCTAAAGCAATCCCTGTCCTGCTGCCAGGGCTGGAAGTTTAATTGGAATTGAGATGGGAATTCCAGCACTTTGGCTCTGTCAGCCTCCTATAAAACCAAGTCCAAGCTCCTGAAAAAAATTCCTCGCCTCTCCTGGCTGCTCCCAGACGTGATGTAAGAATCCCTGGAAGCTGCAGACGGGCTGGAAAAGGGGATTGAGGCTGACCTCTGCCTTTCCCTGGATTGCAGCTGGGTTATTCCTGCTCCTCGGGGACTCCCCGAGCTGTGAGGGATCCAAGAAAAGCAGCTTGGGCAGGGAAAAAGGAATCCAAGGAAAAAAAAAAGGGAAAATCCAAGGGGAAAAGGAGAAAAAAAAGCTGGAATTGAAGGGCTGGCTTGGGAATGTTGAGCTGATCTGGGGAAAAGGAGCTGGATGTAATTCCAAATTTCTTCTCACTGGAGCTGGGAGGTCTCCGAGGTGGGAAGTCCCAGGAGCTGCCTCACCTCTGGCTGCCCTTTTCCTTGGAGCATTCCCAGGAGAAGGAATGAGGTTTTTCCGTGCCTCCTTCCAGCCTCCCGGCCCCAGCAGCTTGAGGAGCTGGGAAAATCCAATTTAATTAATTAAAAGGGATGAATTTTCAGCATGGAAAGCACAGAGCAGCGCTCCAGGAGCGTTGGGAAGGGACGATTCCAGCTGTGCCTGCACTTCCCGCTCACCACCTACGCGCCCATCGTCTCGGCGGAGAAGGCCTACCACGAGCAGCTCTCCGTGCCGGAGATCACCAACGCCTGCTTCGAGTTCTCCAACCAGATGGTCAAGTGCGACCCTCGCCGCGGCAAGTACATGGCGTGCTGCCTGCTCTACCGCGGCGACGTCGTGCCCAAGGATGTCAACGCCGCCATCGCCGCCATCAAGACGCGCCGCTCCATCCAGTTCGTGGACTGGTGCCCCACCGGTTTCAAGGTGCCAGCAGCTTGAGGAGCTGGGAAAATCCAATTTAATTAATTAAAAGGGATGAATTTTCAGCATGGAAAGCACAGAGCAGCGCTCCAGGAGCGTTGGGAAGGGACGATTCCAGCTGTGCCTGCCTCTCCTGGGAGCTGTGGGTGTCATGGATAGAGGATCCAGCCAGGATCGTGGCACTGATGGAATATTTTTGGCATTCCCCCAAATCTGCCCTCGTCTTTTGTGGGATTCACCTGGCTGGAGGTGGGAGCACCACGCCTGGAGAGGTCCAGAAGATCCCAAACCCCCTGGAGCAGGCGGGAGCTGTGGGAATGCTGCTCTCCTGGAATTGTTGGACTCAAAAATGTGTCCCTTCCTGCTGGGAATGCCAAGGTGGGAAATGGAGGTGCTTTGAAGGATTGGCACCTGCAAATCCATGGAATTTGGGGTTTTCTTGGGTTTTAAATCCTCACTCAGTGCTGGTTTCCCTATAATCCATCAGCACTTCCCGTGAATTCAGGAAAATTATTCTCATTGGTTTTTTTCTGGGGGAAAACCAACTTTAGGTTAATTTATTTACAGGATAAAGCTCATTTTCCAAACCTCCCTTGCAACTTTCCCTTGCAATCCATCAGCATTTCCCGTAAATTCAGGAAAATTATTTTCATTGTTTGTTTTTTTTTTCTGGGGGAAAATCAGTTCTTTAAGTTAATTTATTTACAGGATAAAGCTCATTTTCCAAACTTCCATCGCAATCCATCAGCACTTCCTGTAAATTCAGGAAAATTGTTTTCATTGTTTTTTTTTTATTGAGGGAAAACCAATTCTTTAAGTTAATTTATTTACAGGATAAAGCTCATTTTCCAAACCTCCCTTGCAACTTTCCCTTGCAATCCATCAGCATTTCCCGTAAATTCAGGAAAATTATTTTCATTGTTTTTTTTTTATTGAGGGAAAACCAATTCTTTAAGTTAATTTATTTACAGGATAAAGCTCATTTTCCAAACCTCCCTTGCAACTTTCCCTTGCAATCCATCAGCATTTCCCGTAAATTCAGGAAAATTATTTTCATTGTTTTTTTTTTATTGAGGGAAAACCAATTCTTTAAGTTAATTTATTTACAGGATAAAGCTCATTTTCCAAACCTCCCTTGCAACTTTCCCTTGCAATCCATCAGCATTTCCCGTAAATTCAGGAAAATTATTTTCATTGTTTTTTTTTTATTGAGGGAAAACCAATTCTTTAAGTTAATTTATTTACAGGATAAAGATCATTTTCCAAACCTCCCTCGCAATCCATCAGCATTTCTTGTGAATTCAGGAAAATTATTTTCATTGTTTTTTTTTTCTGGGGGAAAATCAATTCTTTAAATTAATTTATTTACAGGATAAAGCTCATTTTCCAAACTTCCCTTGCAACCTTCAGGGCTGGGAATGGCATTTCTGCTTTCCACCCTCCTTTTCCAAACGCTGGAATTCCTGGGGATGGGGCTCCTGGGTTGGGATCATGGGGCTGGGATGGTTCTTCCAGCCTTGGATCCATGAAAATTTGGACTGTCCCAGCTCCAGGGCAGCTCCAGCTCCTTGATCCCAAATAATCCTGAATTTTGAGTCCTCTGAGCCCAAACCATGGATAAGGAAACGCCAAACCTTCCCCATGGAGCTGGATCCCACTTCCAGAGGGAATGAGGCACCTGGAACACCGGTGGGGATCTTTCCACCCCTGAGTCTCCCTTCCCTGAAATCAGGAGAAAAATTCCATCAGAAATGGGGAATTAGGGATGTCCTGGAAAAGCTGTGGGAGAGGGGACAAAGCCAGGACTGAAGTCACCAGTGAGACCAATCCCATTGCAGGTGGGCAGTGGTTTTGTTTTCCATGCAAAACAGCCAAAATCAAGGAATTCATGGACATGAGGTGTCCCAGAAAAAGGACATTTTAAAACGTGATCCAGATTTAGGATGTGGGAGCAGCTCCGTGGGAATCATGGTTTGGTCCCCATGGACATTCCTGGTCAATCCCAAACCTTGCTTGGGTTCAGTGGAGGGTTGGGATCATCTGAGGAAAGCAGGAAATGAGGCCATTCCCGGGAAAAAAATCCTTAAAAACTGGTCAGGAAGGGGATGGATGAAGAATCAAAGGAAAAGCACAGGGAATGACACAGAGATCCCACCCAGCAGCCCATGGAGCTGGGATTTGGGAACAGCCTCACCCTGCTCTGGATTTTCCTGTCCGTGTGCTGAGGGGGATCCATGAGGAGCTCCTGGCTGGTGGGAATGCCTCAAATCCCGGGAAAAGTGATCCCAGCCCCACCTGGGGCAGCCTGGAGCAGGCAGGAATCCCAGGAAAAGGATTCATTCCATCAGGGATGGCTCCAGGTGGGTCTGCAGCCCCTGCTCCGGGGCTCCTGACGGAATTCCCTACAAATCCATCCCATTCCGTGTCCTGATTGCTGCTGGGAATTGCCGTGGTGTTCCCAGCCCCAATGGATGTGAACGTGGGTGTATCCCCAAAATCCTGGGAATGTATTTTTGGAATCGGTCCCTCAGCAGGGGGGGCTGGATCCTCCTCCATCCCAGGATGGGATTCAGGGTCCTGCTGTCCTTGGGAATGTCGGAACTCTTGCAGCACCTCTGGTTTGCTCTTCCATTTGGGAAGGGTCCATTTGGGAAGGATCTATTTATTTGGGAAGAGTTCATTTGGGAAGGGTTCATTTGGAAGGTTAATTTGTGAAGGATCCATTTGGGAAGGGTCCATGTGGAAAGGTTAATTTGGGAAGGATCCGTTTGAGAACGATCCATTTGGGAAGGGTGAATTTGGGAAGGGTCTATTTTATAGGGAAGGGTCCATTTGGAAAGGTTAATTTGGGAAGGGTTCATTGGGTGAAGATCCATTTGGGAAAGGTTCATTTGGGAAGGATCCATTTGGG